TTTTTTTAAAATTTTAGGGGGGGTTTTTTGGGGTTTTTTTTTTAAGGGGGGGTTTTTTTTAAAAATTTTTATTTTTTTAAATTTTATTTTTTTATTATTTTTTAATTTTTTTTTAAAAATTTTTTTTATTTTTTTTAATTTTATTTTTTTTAATTTTTTATTGGGGGGGTTAATTTTATTTTTTATTAATTTTTTATTTTTTTAATTTTTTAATTTTTTATTGAATTTTGATTTTTTTTAATTTTTATTTTTTTTTAAATTTTTTTTGTTGGGGGGAATTTTTTTTTTTTTAATTTTATTTTTTTTAATTTTTATTTTTTGGTTTATTTTATTTTTAATTTTTTTTTTTTATTTTTTGGGTTTTTTTAATTTTTTTTTTTTTTAAAAATTTTTTTTTTTTTAAATTTTAATTTTTTGGGTTATTTTTTTTGGGGGGGGGGAAAATTTTTATAATTTTTTGGGGGGTTTTAAAAAATTGGGTTTTTTTTGGGGGGAATTTTCGGGTTTTTTAATTTTTTAAAAATTTTTTTTAAAAAAATTTTTAAAAAATTTTTTTTTTTTTAATTTTATTTGGTTTAATTTTTTATTTTTTAATTTTTGGGGGGGTTTTTTTTTAATTTTTTTTTTTTTTTTTAAATTTTTTTTTTTTTTTTGGGGGGGGGTTTTTTTTTAAAAAAATTTTTTTTTTGGGGTTTTTTTGAAATTTTTGGGGGGTTTTTTTAAATTTTGGTTTTTTTTTTTTTAATTTTTTTTTGTGGTTTTAATTTGGGGGGGGGTTTTTTTTTTTTTTTTAATTCTTATTTTTTTTTTGAATTTTTTTATTTGGGTTTTAAATTTTGGGGGGGTTTTTTTTTTAAGGTTTTAGGTTTTTTTTAATTTTTTATTTTTTTTAAAAATTTTGGGGGGTTTTTTTTTTTTTAATTTTATTTTTTTAATTTTTTTTTGGTTTTGAATTTTTTATTTTTAATTTTTATTTTTTTTTAAGGGGGTTTTTTTTGGGGGGGGGGTTTTTTTTTTTTATTTTTTTTAATTTTATTTTTTTTTAAATTTTTTTTTTTTTAATTTTTTATTTTTTTTGTAATTTTTTTTTTTTGAATTTTTTTTTTATTGTTATTTGTTTTTTGGGGGGGTTTTTTTAATTTTTTTTTTTTGAATTGTTTTTTTGGGGGTTTTAATTTTAATTTTTTAATTTTTAGGGTTTTTTTGTTTTTTATTTTATTTTTTTTTTTTTTTAATTTTTTTTTTTTTTAATTTTTTTTTTTAAATTTTTTATTTTTTTATTTTAATTTTTTTTTTAAAAAAATTTTATTTTTTTTTTTTTTTTTTATTAAATTTTATTTTTTTTAAATTTTTATTTAAATTTTTTTTTTAAAAAATTTAATTTTTTTTTTTTTTTTTTTTTAATTTTTATTTTTTTTAATTTGGGGGGTTATTTTTTTTAATTTTATGGGGGTGAATTTTATTTTTTTTAATTTTTATTTTTTTTTAAAATTTTTTTTTTTTTGTTTTTTTATTTTTTTTTTTAATTTTTTTTATTTTTGGGGGGTTTTAACTTTTTTGTTTTTAAAATTTTTATTTTATTAAGGGGTTTTTATTTTTTTTTTATTTTTGGATTTTTTTTTTTTTGGGGTTTTTTTGGGGGTTTTTTTTGATTTTTTGGGTTAATGTTTTATGTTTTTTTGGGAGGGTTTTTTTTTTAAGTTTTTTTTGGGGGGTTTTAAATTTTTTATTTTTTTGTAATTTTTTTTTTTTTAAATTTTATTTTTGGGGGTTTAAAAATTTTTTTTTTTTTTAATTTTTTAAATTTTTAATTTTTTTTTTATTTTTTAAAATTTTTTTTTTTTATTTTATTGGGGGGGGGGTTTTTTTTTATTTGGTTAATTTGGGGGGGGGGGTTTTTAATTTTTTGGGGGTTTTTTTTTTTTTAATTTTTTTTTTTTTAATTTTTGGGGGTTTTGGTTTTTTTTTTAAATTTTTTTTTTTTTTTTTTTTTTTTTTTTTTTTTATTTTTTTTTTTTTAAAATTTTTTTTTTTTTTTTTTTTTGGGGGGGTTTTTTTTTTTTTTTTTTTTTTTTTTTTTGGGGGGGTTTTTTTTTTTTT